CTACGAGACGGCGCATCAGCGCATCATTCATTATTTTTCCGCTTTTTTTCACACGCAGGGCTCAAAAAACGGCATCAAGAGAGTGCGCATAGGCGCACGGCACATTTCTTATTCATTTCTAACTATCTACTAGCTACGATAGACAAGAACGCCCGACTTACCTAGACATGGTGGGCGTTAGGAGCAAGATGGAAATGGTGGCTGTGCCAGATGTGCCCACCTGTTTGTGGTGACTCAGCCCGGAACCTGGGACGAGTCCCCGGTTTGGTCACCCCAAACATGGTGGCACAGGTGCACAGCCACCGTCTGCCTCTTGATCTTGACCACCATGTCGCGATCATGTAGTGCAGGCGGGCGAGGAATGGAAAGCGGGCGGCGGGGGGTGGCCCAAAGTAGAATAGTAATGTAAAAGACAAGGAAATGAAATGAATTCGGCATGAATACAGGGAGAAGAGAGGTGTGGAACGCAAACGGGCGAAGGGGTGCCGGACTGTAGAAATCAAAGTAAGTCATGATAGAACGCCTTACGATTGGAACGAAAACTCACCACACATCAGCGCAAACTGTACGTGTCGTATGAATGAAGTCGGGGAGGAAATCTATGGAAAAGGTGGCAGGAAAATTGAGTACGTGCGGGGCTTTATATCAAGATATAAGGGGGACTCACGGCAGACTCAGGGCACGACGAACGGAAGGGGAGGCGGACGGCCATGCCTGAGGCGACGATCAGAGAGGAAAAGAAGAACAAGGGATAGCAGCTCACTGCGCAAAGACGATACAGCTGAGGACCTATAAGCCAATGGTGAGTCCACGCGCTCGTGTATTGCCCAGAGGAATACTGACGCCACGCCAAAATGTAGTGGAACCTATGCTGACAGGTGAGTTGGGCGTTAATGTGCGGAAGACATGGACAGCTGATGAGAGACACTAAGTTAAGTCGAAAATAAGACAATATCAGCACAACCAGCAAGAAGCGAAGCGCAAGACGCACAGACGGAGGTACAGGCACGCAGCGAGAAAGGCTATGTTGAATGGATAGTAAGTAAACGCTGACACAAGGAATGAATGGTGTACGACTGACAGAAGAACAGGAAAGATGATGCGGCGGGTGGAAGAAACGGGGAAGAGGGCGCGAGGATTGAGGAAGGGGCGAAACATATTGACTGGAAGGAAGGTAAGCAGCACGGCCATACTTATAGCTGGGCGGCACTCACATTGTCCCAGCCCGTATTGCCCGATTGAGCGACCAAAGCGATCGCGCAAGCGTTGCGCCTACCCGATTGAGATACGGGTGGCCATGGGCATTGCGATGCGTGCGTTCACGCATGCCCCCCAGGAACAATGGTGCGGATCTCGCCGTGCGCACGAGGATGGAAAGTACTTATCGCCCCTGGCACTCCCCAGACGCCTTTTTCCGCCCTTACACTACACTTTTTTTTTCTTTCGTGCGCATATCCGGTTGAGCCAACAAGCTCCCATCTTATTTTCACCCACCTGCCCAGCAAAGTCTCTCTCCTGCCTCCGATGGCGTCCCGACCTCAAACTCGAGCCAGCGCCAAGGCTGCCGCGCTGCCGCCGCTGCAGCTGCGCCACCAACGGGTGGAACCCGGTCTCGCACCGTAAAAACTGTATGTACAGCGTCCGCGCAAATTGGAATTGGAATCAAGGCTAATCGTGCGTCTCTCCAGGAACGCGAGCCGTCGAATCGCAAAGGGAAAAGCCAGGCCAAATCCAAGACCCCCAAAGTCCCGTTAGAGAAGGCGGGTTCCCCGCCACCCGTGCCCCAGGTGGACCCGCCCGCGCCAAAAGCGAAACGCGCCTCGGGGGACTCTGCATCCACGGTACCTGCCGCCACTCCTGGAACGCCGCGCATGACGCGAGACGTATGTTTCAGGCCCTCGCGTTCCCTTGGGTTTGTTTTGCTAACGCGTTTTTGTTTTAGATTTTGCAAGATACAGTCAGTGACCAGCTGCCACCGGCGGACCCGCCCGCGCCACAAGCGAAACCCGCTTCGAAGAACTCTACACCCACGGCACCTGCCGCTGCCGCCACTCCTGAAAATCCACCCTGGCGGCTCTCCGAGGTACGTCACTCGCTGCTGTCACCTTGACGAATACTCACGCGCGTTTAAGGACGTCGCCCACATTGCCTCAGGGGGGTACTTCAGACCGCGACCCGGCTCTTCTACGCACCGCGCGTCTCCAGAGTCTGGCGACGACTTACAGCTGACGGTGGCCGCTCGGCACTGGGGACTCTCGCTGCGTGCGGGTGACAAGGCTCAGCCCCCGGCTTCCCCACCCATCGACGACGTCGTGGACTTCGAGGAAGGGGCTGGCCGTGCACAGACGCCGTTTCTGGAGGAGCCCGAAGACGGTGAGGCAGCGGGGGGCTGTGCATCGACCCCATCTGTCCAGCACGACTCCGCAAACGAGGAAGATGCCGGTGGCGACCTTTCAGATGGTGGGGAGTCCAACTTCAGCACTACCGATGCCGCGGAGCGCAAGGAAGCTGACCGTCAAAATAAAGTCTTTGAGGGCTTACCTTGGGTGGCGCAGACGGTGCCTATCGAGGAGCAGGATGAGGAAGACATGGAGCGCTTCGAGGAGGAAGCCGAGGCGGAGTTAGCACGCAAGACTAAGCGGGCGTCAGTGGGGAAGTCGACGGGGAAGGGGAAGGGGAAGGGGAAGGACGACGACGACGCAGCTGAGGGCGTGGCAACGAAGGCGAAGGCGAAGGGGAAAGGGAAGGCGAAGGGGAATGAGGACGACGACGACGACGTGGACACGCGCGCCGGGGACTACGAGGACCCCATGCAGGAGGATGATCCGCAAGACCAGCCGCCTTGGGAGCTGACGCCGGGCCAAATGTCGAAGGAGGACCTCGAGGAGGCGCTTGCCGCCCGCCGCCAGTACCACGCGACAGTCCAGACGGTGGCCCATCGCTTGGGGAAGAAGATGGCCACAGTGTTCAAGGCCGTCGGGGACGGTGCCGCAACAACGCGGCACACCAACCCTTGGAACGCGTTCCAGACGAAGTACCGCGCTGAAAAGCCAAAGCGTGCCGACGGTGAGTTCCCGTTTCTGTTCGTGCTTGCTCCTGAGCTGACACCGCCAATTTTTCAGTGAGTGCCAACGAGTATCGCCAAGAGCTATCAGCTGCGTACGCCGAGCTCTTCGTGGATCTCCCCGAGGAGGACCGCAACAATCCTGATGAACAGCGCAAATGTGTCAAAGAGGTCATGGAGTGGTACCACGAGAACTCCATGGTTTTGCTGGACGAGAGGAAGGCGGGTGGGAACGCGCATGCACTGATGAGCAAGATCGTGAAGCCGTTCATACACCAGGTGAGTTTAGTGCCCGTCTGCAATATTTCAGCACTTAACCGACCCACAGAGCACGGTGGCAGGCAGCACCTACGACGTCGAAGTCTTCGGCTTCGGCATCGATACCTTCAGCAACGTCGCCATTATCTGGGGTGGCACGCCCACTTTCTATGCCATTTACGAGGCGTTCGAGCAGCCCATCAAAAGCAAGCTCGCTGAACTGAAAGCGATGTTTCAGTAAGTGTTCAAGTCCACAGAACTGCCTTGGTCGCTAGACTAACGTCGTGGACAGGGTAACCAATATGAAGCGCCGCGATGGCGAGGTGGGTCACCGACCTATGCACATCGACTTCGGCAAGAGACCGACAGAAACCACCGTACGCGACGCAAAACGCTGGATAATCGGGGGTTGTTTCTTGAATGACATATGTGCGTCGCTCGTTCGGTGAAATGTCGAATGCCACTAACTTTGTTTTTTTTTTTGTTGTCTTAGTCAACGTTCTTGCGGACCGCGACGAGGAGGAGCGAAACTGCCCCGAGCCAACCAAGATGTCTTGGAAATGGGCAGACTCTGCCCTGAGGTACGGGCTGCGCCTGGAGGGATGGCCCAACGCTCTCAAGGCGGCCTTCCCCGCACCCGGCTTCGACCTTACCCACATCAAGGGGAAGGAAGGGAATGAGGCGCTGATAGAGATGTGCGCGCAGATGCAGAAGAGATATTTGAGTGCTGACAACACTGGGGATGGCCCGATTATTGTCTCGTGGACGGAGGGTGCGTGCTTACATTCTTCCTCATCGCGCCTGCTCTAACCGCGATTATGGCAGAGGAATGCGACTTCAACACGGCCGAGACCCTAACGGAGGTCGCTATCGTCGTGGCCGACGATGGCACCGTATTGCTGCGCGCTGATGCCTCGAAGCTGCTTATCCACGCCATCGTCAACGAGAAAAAGGCGGCCGAGAAAGCGGCGGCTGAGCAAGAGGCGGCCGAGGCGGCCGAGAAAGAGGCGGCCAGGCCCAAGAAACGCAAGACTCCCGCTTCCGCTTCGGCTCCGGCAGAGGGACGGAAATCGAAGAAGACCAAACACATCCGCTCAGACGACGGCGACAACGAGATGCCACCACCACCTCCAGCGGCCGGACCATCGTCACGGCCTGCCGTGGAACCGCTCAAATCCCGTTACACGTGCAGCTATGTGTCCGCAGACGGCGAGCGCTCTGGGTATTGGGGGGCAACCGGGATGCGGAAGTATAAGGGAGAGCCCACGAAGGCGCAGCAGGCCATGGAGTGTTGGGATGAGGGGACGGCGTCCTGGCACACCCTCCCGTGGGGTTTGGAGATGATTGAGGATCAGGATTACGCGGCGGAGTGCGCATGTATTCGGATGTGGTACGGTTTGGAGGAGGATTAAGCGGTGTTGCTATGTTTTTGTATTGCTTTCCGTTTATGCTATGATTACATGTCTTTATTTTTATGAAGTCTGAAATTTCCTTTTTGGGCCGCTAGCAGTTGTTTGTTTGGTCCATCTTGGCATCTCGGCATCCATCGAAAAGAACGGCAGGGCAAAAAAAATGGCCGGTGAGCAAGCGAGTAGGTTTCTTATTAGTTGAGTATTTTTATACGAAAGACAGGACATCCTGAAGGACGATAAGAAAAAAAATAAGCGAAAGAGAGAAGAGGCCATAGTGGGATTCGAACCCACGCGATGGGAGGAAACATGTAAAATACGGGCCCCAAATAAATCCCATGCTATAACCACTAAGCCATATGGCCGCAAAGGAAAATTGTTTATTTTCGGACACATAGACGCGTGAAACTGATGTGCGGCAAACATGAACCAAACAACCGCTACTGCCCCAATAAGGCAATTGTGGCCGAAAATAACAAGTTGATAAAAAAAATTGGGGAAAAACAAGTGTTTTCAAATCCTGGATGCATCTATCCATTTAATGGCCGGACAGACATTTTATTTATACTCCGACACATAGGCGCGTGGAGCTGACGTGTGGCAAACATGAACCAAACAACTGCTACTGCCCCAATAAGGCAATTGTGGCCGAAAACAACGGTTAAAAAATAAAAAGTCTATGAAAAAAATTGCGGAAAAAACACAAGTCTTTTCAAATCCTGGATGCATCCATCCAGTGGTTTGGCTGCCAATGGATGCATCCACATGAGCTTGAGACATATGGAGGCATCCAGCAGGGACCAATGGATGCATCCACATACGGTGGACACATCCATCGGGGAACCAAACAAAAGGCCATGGATCCATCCATGGGGATGGATGGGTCCACTAGCAGTGGATGCATCCATTGTTTAAATAAAATAAAAAACCCATGGATGCACCCATCTGGGCATGGATGCAACCAGCATATATCATGGGACCATGGTTGCATCCACCCCAGGTGGATGCAACCATGGTCCACATGGCGGGATATGGATACATCCAGGACTCCGAAAAAAAATGAAACATGGATGCATCCACCGTATGTGGTCGCATCCAGGTGCGAACAGCATGGAGGCATCCATATCATTTTTTGTACCCACTGGATGCATCCATAGCCTATTAAAAATGCAGAATGGATGCATCCATGGCCCCTCAAAAATTATAAATGGGTGCATCCACGGGTCCTTCTCCTGGGGAGTCTGGATGCATCCATGAAAGGGGATTTTCAGGAATCAGATGTGATACAACCAATATGATAGGGCATGCAATCACTTGCGATAGCTATGATATGAATGGCAAGGCTACCAGCTACTACAAGCTGGACTGAGCGCAGGCAAGGCAAGGGTACCGGATGTAACTGCAAGGCTACGGGGTTGTAAAATGCTACTGAATGCATGCATGCAGGCTGGGCTACCGAATGTATGCACGTAGGCAATGCTATGGAATTTACGTACGCAGGAAATGCTACTGAATGTATGCATGCAGGCTGGGCTACCAAATGCATGCAGGCAATGCTACCAAATGTACACATGCAGGCAGGGCTACCGAATGTACGCACGCAGGCAGGGCTATGGAATGTACGCACACAGTCAATGCTACAGAATGTACGCACGCAGGCAGGGCTACAGAATGCACGCAGGCAATGGTACGGAATGTACGCACGCAGGCAGGGCTATTGAATGTATGCACGCAGGCAAGGCTACCGAATGCACGCAGGCAATGGTATGAAATGTATGCACGCAGGCAGGGCTATTGAATGTACGCATGCAGGCAAGGCTACCGAATGCACGCAGGCAATGGTATGGAATGTACGCACACAGGCAGGGCTATTGAATGTAAATGTACGCATGCAGCCAAGGCTACCGAATGCACGCAGGCAATGGTATGGAATGTACGCACGCAGGCAGGGCTATTGAATGTACGCACACAGGCAAGGCTACTGAATGTATGGACACACCGAATGTACGCACGCAGGCAATGCTACTGAATGTACGCACACAGGCAAGGCTACCGAATGCACGCAGGCAAGGCTACCGAATTCACGCAGGCAATGGTACGGAATGTATGCACGCAGGCAGGGCTATTGAATGTACGCACACAGGCAAGGCTACCGCATGCACACAGGCAATGCTACTGAATGTACGCATGCAGGCAGGGCTACCAAATGTACCCTGGACCAGAGAGCATCCCCTAGCCAGCATCTACAGGCATCCAGGCAGCATATGGTGTACTCTATATATGCCCAGAAGAGGCAGGATGAGTCCCAGGGGCAGGGCCCAGTAGGGGCCACGATTTGGGTCCTGCGGGGGCCCTGGAATCCCCAAAACGAGCTGGGCTCTGGGGGACGCTGGATGCACCCATATGCCAGGTGACGTGACACCTGGGTACATCCATGGTGGTACCGGGGTGGATGCATCCATCACCCTGGATGCACCCATACACATGGGATGCAACCAGGTTTCGGACCTCCTTAGGGCCCATTACTCATTCACCGGAATGGTCCTAATGAGGTCTGATTTGAGGTAGCCTGAAGTGGCTTCATGAATCATTTTACATGGGATTCCTACACAATGCACGGTGTTTGAGGACTTGGAATATCTTGAGGGAATTTATTGATTCATGGCCCTGAATCCCTTGTAGAAAGCTCATATCATAGCCGTTTCATTCAAAACCAGGACTGTTCAATCCCATTGGGACTTCCGTGTTTCCCCTTCCCTGATATTGATCCTCAGGCTCAAATTCCCAAGCTATCTGATCCAGAGATGAGAGGGGGGGGGCATGATATAGTGTAGTGCTGCTGCAGCTGCTGCAGACACTCCAAGTTGAAGTCCGACAGATGTTGGGGAGATCATGCACCCCGTGTATTCATGAATTGATGGACCTCGGAGCGATATGCGTAGACAAGGGAAATTTCAAGAAAGATCCAATATCGTTTCCTGATTTGCAGGGCAACAGTCTACGCTTCTCTGCCTAGGTTCTCCGATCTTCAGAACTGAAGTTCTAATTACACAATAGGTCCACAGGCTTCAACGAATCCTACCCGATTTGTGGCCCTGAGATCCATTGTCTGACAGGGATTGCCCTACAGAATGAAACTAGCATATAATGGCCATGCTACAGCAGAAAGTGTGTATTTTGAAGGTGGAAATGAGGTGGAAATACTTGACATCCAAGGGGTCTGTGAAAATCCAAGCCAGTGGCATGATGCACAGTACAAGGTGTGTTTTTTTGGTCGAAGTGCAACCTGTGCATTTTTTGAACAGATCTTCAGTGGTGCAATTTCTTGGAATTCTTGGATGTGTGTAGTTTCAGGTATGAGAACAGCTGTGTTAATCAGACAAAACCACCTTTGTAAATCAAAGATACACCAGTGTAAACTTTCGCAAATTTGGGGATAATAATGTCCCAGTATTACCCCCATAGGTGCGCTAGCAACTTGGGCTCGATTTGACACCAAATGGAGTGAAGACGGCCCAATCTCGAAGCTTACCCGCGAGAATATCGAGCGCGCGTGGCTCGAGGTCACCAACGATGGAAACGAGAGCGATCTGGGCATCTACCGGCTATCAGCACGGTCTGCACCGAACATCTCCCTTCCTTACCACAACGCACTCCGGATGAACAAGGCCAATCATACTTCCGAATACCTCAAGACATTAGCGGCCCCGGATCGGCAAGCTATTCGCGTGGAGGTCCGAAAGGATGACGCATCGGGTGCAAACCAGCACACAAAGCATGCACAGGTTGTGCACATGAAAGAGGTGGTGGAGAAGAACGTGTAAGCTTTGGATGTGGCATTCCGGATTGCCCCAGAGCTGAAGCTGACGCAGACAATCGGTAAGCGGTATTCATTGTGACGAGGCTTTTTACTTATTTGGCTTAACAGGATGGAATGGTGGATGAGGACCAGTGGGCGAGTACTGCTACCTACAGCATGTACTACCAGTAGTAGGGGAGGCTTAAAGTGGCTTAACCTGCTTTAAGCCAGTGCTCGCTAAAACGTAGTTGGGTTAACCCAACGAGAACTTGATCTATCCGCAATCCATCTATCGACGAGCGCAAGAGAGAGTTTCACCGAGCGAAAAGTGCAGAGTGGTCATCATGGTGCCAGAGGTGAGCGGCATGCCGTCGCGGCGTGCGCGCAGAGTGGGGCGCAGAGGACGGTAAGCACCAGCGAGGCGAAAGTGGCTAGGGCCATGGTGGTGTGTGGTCGACGCGCGTGCGAGTAGTTGAATCAGCCCAGGGGGATGACCGTATTCAAACCCGTCCTTGGTTCATACAACGGATTCGACGAATCGAGCGCTTGTTGACAATGTTCGTCGTCGCGGCAACGTCGCGGTGAGGAGGCGAGAAAGCTGACGTCACCATCTACCGGCAATCACCGTTACTTCCCACGGGGTTTCGACCTCCAGTTCAACGCATGCTAGTTTCTCAATTCCATGTGCTTCTCTTGGTGCTTATCGTCGCCGCTGTATGGCTGCACGTCGCGCGCGTATTTGGGCCACCGACAAAGGCTGTTCCAGCGGCTGGACCTATGCGTACGACGCATTATTGTGTCCTCGCCCGCTCGAGTCCAGACTGCAGAATGCCGGATCGTGCGTATTCAAATTCCTCCCTCCCATGCAGGTTAAATTGAGAATATCAAGGTGAGGTAGGACACGGTGTGCACCGGGTAAAAATAACAGCGATCATAAATCTTGGCGAAATCCCGAGGGCGCTTGCTCGACTCAAGCTCTCGTCACTGATCAGCTCGGAAGGCTTTTTTATTTATTTTCTTCGTGGCTTCATTGGAGGGATTCGTGTGAGTCAGATGGGATCCAACGCATCTCGACTGAATTCTTATATTATTTTATGCATCTCATCATGCGTCTTTGTCTGTTGTTACCCCGTCTGGGCGAGTGATTAATACCCTCTCCCTTTTAGCATCAATCATTTATGGAACGTATAAGTGGATGGCGTACACAGAGCAATGCGGGGTAGCACACGGTGTGCGCCGGCTGCAAATGGGATAATGGGAAGAATGCCCACCCGGAGGCGCCCGTTCGACTCGGACCCCCACCAATGCGCCAAAGGGAGCGGTTTATTTCTTCTTTGTGTTTGTTGGCTTACCTACACTTCCGCTTGCACCTCGGAGGACCGTATGATCGCTGTGTGCCCAATGCGTATTCAGCTCCGCAATCTATATTAAGTTTTATCGACTATCATAAAACTCGTGGAGTCTGACTACGGGAGACTATCCGCGATCGTAGGTTTCTCGCAGAACATTGGGATTACAACCGGGGTTGCAACAATTATGCAATTAAACCCCTGCTCTGAAGAATTA